GTCTTCCCACTGTGGCTTACACCTCGCTCCCCACGGAGCAAAGTCATGAGCATTAGTGCCAGCAATCCCAGCGTTTCACAGAAACCAGACCACAGCTGCTATTTTCATCTAGCTTCAGTGACTGCAGAAATCCACTTGTTCGGAGCTGAATCCAAGAAAAAGTTTTAGGTGTTGGTGGAAAATGAAGTGGTTCTCTTCCAACCAGGCACAGGTAGGAGGCACAAACACCCACAGCATCACCCTTCCTGCAACTAATCTCAGCCTTTCTAGGGGCACTCCCCTCGTTTCAGCTGAGCATCCTCCCTGGGCTGAACTCAATCACTTTTCTGAACTTGGAAAGAAAATCAATGCATCGCTCTAACACACACATACCACGCTTAACAGTGAGTTTAAGCTGCTACCCTGCAAATCTGCCACCGCAAGGAAAACACCAATTCAGGTGCCCAGAAGCCAGCGTTTTTCTTTGGGGGTTGGCTGGAGCAGAGCAGGGAAAGGAGGAAGTAAAAGGCTCAGGCGGCCAAACGCCGTTGGGATTTTTCTCTCCTTGAAGTTACGCTCCAAGTTGGCCATGCAGGCAGAATAATACCACAAAAAGTATGTACCAACAGTCAACTAGATTTAAGTTCATTTTCTGTAGCTCGAGGCCAAAATCGACTGAAGTGGTTCTGGTGATCAAGTTTTCTGCAATTCCCCTTCCTACGTATTAGCCATTTGACAGAAATTCACTGCGGTATTTAAACTGGCACTCATCACCGCTAACTCAAATTGTATTGGCTTTCACAATGCTGAAACGCTCAACTGCGACCATCAATCGGCCAATTCCGAGATAAGGCGCTGGCTGAAATTCCCTGTCATGCCGTGCGGCCCCTTTGTAGCTCCCCGGAGCCGCGGCGAAACCAGCAGCCGCGCCAACGGCAGCGCCTTCCCGAGAGGCTGCCTTTCCCGGCGGGAATGGCAGGGAGAGGGCACAGAGGCAGCCCCGGGGACTCCCTTCCTCCTCTCCCTCCAAGAGCCGGGGTGTTTTCGCCATCTCAGATGACTGAGGAGCAAAAGCAGAAGCCCGTGCGACTGGGTGAGATTCCAACTAGAGAAAGGAAGATCCCAATCGATGGCTACGGCTCGAGCACAAAGTTTGTCAGGTGGGTCAAGTTTTAGAAGGCAACCGGAGATCAATATGTGTGTCTTTAAACGCATGTAGCAGTGCTTTTAACTTCTGGATAAACTCTCCTCGTACAGGTGGTGGAAAAGGCTGACGAAGGGAACGACACCGCAGCACGATTTGTTAAGCTGCATCAAGGGCCAGATTTGTGCACACACTGACAGAACAGAACTGAGCAGAGTATTTCTCCCGTCTGCACAGAAGCAAGTCCCTGTTTTCTCTATGACTCTCCCAAGAAGTGCATTTATGCAGAATCCCAGCAGCTTTCAGAGAAAAACCTCAGGGGAAGGATGAGAAAGCTCTGGCCTTCCACCACCACAGGGTCTGTGTCAGTTAAGAAAGTCTTCCTTCTCCCAACCCCAAAACAAAGTGTGATTTTTTTTTTTTTTTTTTTGGCAAAGCTAAAAATTAAAAACTGGAGGGGGAAATTGGTAATTTGTCCTGCTGCTCCTGATAGTTTTCCTGTAGTTAAACTGGGAAATGAAATGGAAATGACACAGCATGCCAATCCCACCGTTAGCATGCCGCTAATGAAGCGCGCTGTGCCGGGCGCCCTGGGCGCGAAGCCGGCGGCGGCTCCGCTCGGAGCGCGGCCCGGAGCGCCCGCACCAGCGCTCGCTCCCTCTACTCGCTGCCCCTTTTTCCACACTCTCTCATACACAGCTAAGAGAAACGCAGCGTGCCACTATTTTGTGCCGAGCGGCACGGTAAATACAGAGCCTAATGGTAAATAAACACCGCGTTTTAGGCAAACACAAGCAACCTCCCTGCAGCCTCTTCTATAATTGCTGAAGTTTAAATGTGATGCTCTGCAATCTGGGGCAAGGCCCGTGCGGGGATATTTTTAACCACAACCAACATGTGAAATTACTCACTGGTCCACCCAGGCCGGGGCTCGCAGGCGGCCTCGCCTGAGCTGGAGCTGCTGCACGTTTGCGTTGCTGCGCGTTGGGGTTTGGCTCGTGCAGAGCAGCAACAGCAGTTGCTAATGTGCTGCCCCCACCCCCATCTGGTGCATTCTTCCCCAAATCCCCTCTTAAGCCCCACCCTGTGCAATTCCCAAGTGTAACCCAAGGAGCCGCTTTCCCGCTGGGGATGCCGGCGCTCCGGTGCATCCCGGCGCTCCGCTCGAGGTCCCGGGAGGGCGGCTCTGCCGGCAGTGCCAGGCGGGCGCCTCCCGGCCCCTTCCCACCCCGGAGACAAAGAACAGCGCTCCCGCCTCGGGCCACCGAGCAGCGAGATTTATGGATGCTCCTCTGCACTTCCACCTCCCTCTCCCACTTCGGGGCCAGGCGCTCTGCCTTGGAATCGTTATTTAGGAGATCAGGAAGGCGATAAAAGCAAAGAAATCTGCGCTGGGGCTTCGGTGTGTGCGGGTAACGCTGGGAGCCGGGCTCCGCGCTCGCTCCCGGCTCTGTCGCGGAGCTCCCGCCATGCCGGAGCGCGACGCCTACGGAAAACACGCGCCGGGACCCGGGAGCCCGGGAAGCGCCCCAGGGCCCCGCGCTCCGCACGCGCAGCCGCCGCGAGACCAACAACGCGCTATTCACACACACACACACAGAGTTTATCATTTGGTTCCTGTCCTCGGTCAATATTTAAGTTTTATACGCGCAGCTCCCTCGCCCTGTAAAGTACACGGCGTGTGCTGGGAAAACACGGAGCCGCAGCGAGGAAAGGAGCCGTAGGCATCCGCACGGGCCTCGCCGCGGAGGAGCTGCGGAACCGACCATTTTAAGGCCAACAACAGGCCTAGAGAAATAAACCCGGTGTAACGAAGCAGGGGGAGGAGGCAGGGGAGGACTGAAAATCTCCTTACACATCTGCATAATAAAACTGAAAAGGTAAAGCACTCAGGGCTGCTACAAAACTGGGCGACACCGAGAATGAAAAACAATCAGGATTGTGTCTATTTACTGTGAGCTTAGAGCAACGTGTATTAAAGAAGTTTATGCGAATCATCTAATGCACTCATGCCTATTGTTAGAATTATTACCAAGCTAAAAAAGATTAATTTCTCTAAATACACTAAATCCTCAGGCATGATTAGAAGGCTGCTGCGAACGTGGCATATTGCGACGTCTTGGTTGCTAATGTCATCTTTACCTGTGGATCTGCTGCCCTGAGATCTACCTTTCCCTCCGTGCCTTCTCTCCTGACCAGTCCCAGTAAGGCCAGGATTACTCCAATGAGGCACGAGCAGTGACCCGGGCAGAGCAGCAGTCTGGCTCGAGCAGAGGTTGAAACCACAAGTCTCCATGTTGATGTATTTTGATCTAACCCTCAGCTCATGTGTTCAAAATCTTAACTTGACGTGCTCCAAAACACCACGCGAAGATTTAGGGCAGAGATGGGAACCAAGCGGGACAGAACCACAAGGAAGAGACGTCCCACCTGGAGCGGAGCAGACCCAACACACCAGAGCAAACCCCTTCCCGGGGGCTCCACGGGGACAACCGGGCAGTTTCCACCCCGGTATCTCCACACCAGGTAGCTAAACCTCGGCACTAACTGCGAGCTCGGACTTACAGCCGTGTCCCAAACTCCTGTGTGAAAAGGGGGCCCCTTTGCAGGGCAGGGGCCGCGCGTTGGGCCCGGAGCAGCTCCGTGCTGCCCGCCCGGCTCTCCCACGGGCGGCAAGCTGGCGCATCCCGGAGGGCTCCGGGACACTCACGCAGCGCCGCTTTCCCACCAACCCTCACACATCTCCCGAGCAGCTAAACGCAGGCATGTCGAGGCAGCGCGCAACCGGGGAAGAGAGGAAAGATGGTTTCCACACCACAGGCTCCCAGGAACACACAGAAACAGCTCCTGCTACACGGTTTAACTTACTTGACTACCGTCCAAGCCCACAGCCAGGTGACTAATCCTTTGATTCAAATTCCTCTCGGTGCAGATCAACGCTGCAGATGTGACTGACTTCAGCGGGACAGGAGCGGGCAGCCCACCCTTCTCCGGCCGGATCCAGCACCAAAGGGAGCCGCAGGAAAAGCGGCATCACTGGAGAGGACTCCTAGAAAGCCCTGCCCCGAGCACTGCGGCCGCACAGGCTCAGCGGTGCTGCCCGCACAGGGAGCACCTTTGGGGGCTACCAACGCATCCACAACAAGGCACCCCGAGCCCCGGGGCAGAGCAGCTCCTCCAGCTTTGCTGGCGCTCATACAAGGACAGGGTCCCCACGGACACGTGGGCCCGATGACACCACGTGGCTCCTCGCCGCGGGGCTCACGGCGCTCTGCTCCGCACGCGGCCCAAAAACAGGCAACACCGACACACGAGGCACACGCCAACAAGCACCAGGGGTTGCAGGGCTCCCCGGCTCCCAACACCTTTGTTCAATTAACACCTTCACGGAGTTCTTTTTAAGAGGAGATTCATGGACAACCAAAGCAGCCCCGAGCCTTGCTAGGAACAGCAAGGTTTCCAGAGGCTAAAGAAACGACATTGTGGAGAATTCCCCCCTCCTCCCAATCCCAACCCCACGGATGCCCACACAACAACAGCATTTGTCAGCGAGATGTCCCCAGCATGAAATATATCAGCATTGATCCCCCAGAGCAGCCACAGCCAACGCTTTACTGTCCATTGCTATGCAAAACTGCTTAATTCTACCAGGAGTCTGAATGCCTTTAAGTACTTAAGATAAGTATCTGAGCTGATTTACATAATTGCAACATTATGAAATAGTGTTGAGCCAAATCAGAACATTGTTGGTTAAAAACAAAAAAGCAAGAAAAGAAACACGCTCCTGCCAGTCGGTTACATTCGCTCTTGGTGTGCTGGAGAAGCCTGAGCCACCCAGCTCTGTAATTACCGTGAGGATTAAAAACTTGTTACTCACATAGTCATGAAAGGCTTTTGCTTCACTTGAATGTTCACAAGTATCTCGCCTTTCAGGAGCTGCACAGTAAAGGTCCCAAAATACGCTGCATGGCAGAAAAAGCAAAACAGGATCCAGTTACTAATTATTACTTGCATGCTTAACAGCACAACACACAATAGCCGAGTTCAAGCCACGCCAGCGGTTCATTAAAGGTGAGCAACTTTCCACCTCATTTGGCCCGTGGTTGCGGAGGAAATCTCCAGTCTGTCAGGACTGGGCAGCCAGTCTCGCCTCTGTTCAGACCTTGTGGCGGCAGCGCCAATAAAGAGGTTTGAAGCCAGGTGATGTTGAGCGTTTCAAGAGCTAAACCCGGCATTTAGCGCGTGGGTACCAACGTGAGCGAGCTGGCGACGTGAACCCCAGAGCGGGAACTCTGCAACGTCCAGGACCTCAGCACAAGCAGGGATCACTGCTGGGGTCTTGGGCCGCCTTCCCCTAGGGCTCCCAGCAAAGCCAGGCTAGACCTGAGCCCAGCGTCCCCCTGATGATGGTTTAAACTTCTGGAAATGTTTTGTGCAGCCGCTCGCACCGGGCTCCTAAAGCACCGGCTCAGGCTCCAGGCTGGCGACGCGGAGCGTTTCCCTGCTGCTCCCGAAGCCTTCCCACGCGGGAGGATTCCCCGGAGGCTCCGTGGCGGCGGGGCCAGCAGTGCCCGGGGCACCCACCCTGCCCCGGGTACTGATCCCTGCCCTGTTTGGGCCGGATTCCTCCTTCTCCAGAGGCACCAGTTGCACGGAGGCGCCGGCGGCAGCGGCCTGGGAGCGGGGATGGAAGCAGAGCCACGGCCAGCAGAGCCGGATGCATCAGCCCCGTCTCCACCTCCCCGCTCGGAGCCCATCCGGAGCAGCCGCTGCCGGGGCCCCGATTCCCCGCGGTTATTCCGTCCCGTTGGCCGGGGCCGCGCTGCCCACCCCAAACCCAGCGGCGGGGCGCACGGGGGTCCCCCACTTACCACCACCAGGAGTGCAGGAAGCCGGGGGGCTCGCCCAGCGTGATGTTCTTCTCCCACCGGATCTGCGAGACACAGCGCGCGTCAGGGGCGGGGGGGACGGACCCCACGCGTGTCCCCCCCCACGGCACAAGATGGAGGCCGCGGGGGGGCGCGGCGGGCGGGCGCACAAAGGGCGCGGGGCCGCGCTCACCTCTGACAGGAAGGTCTGCGCCGACTTCTGCGCGCCGACGTGCAGCAGGTACTCGTAGACGTAGAGCGCCAGCCTGCAAGAGCCACCGCGCGTGGGGCCGCGCCGCGGGCACGGGCACCGGCCCCGCGCACCGAGCCCCGCGCCCCGCGCCCGCCCGCCCGCCGCGCTTACTTCTCCCGCGCCTGCCCGTCCGAGGGCACGGCCGAGCCTTTGCCTTTGGCGAACATGGTCCGCGCCGAGGGGCCGCCGCTCGCAGGGGGAGGAGGCTGCGCCGCCGGTGCCGCGTCCCGCTGCGCTCGGGCTGTCAGGGCGACGGCGCCCGCCGCGCCCCCATGGCCGCTGCTCCCGCCGCCGCTGCCGCCCGCGCCGGCTCCGGCTCCCGCCGCCGCTCCGCGCTCAACCGAACGTGGCTGCGCCGGGCAGCGAGCGCGGCGGGCGGCGACGGGCGCGCGCCCCGGCCAACCGCCGCCGCGCGGGGGCGTGGCCCGGCCGCGACACGCCCACCCTTAAGGGGGCGCTGCCGCCGCCTCCGGCTGGGGGCCCAGCGCGCAGCGCCGCCGCC